TACAGAGTCTAGAGGAGAGGTTGTGAACTTTCATGATATTTGTGAGGAAGAAGAAGATTTTTCTATGGTGCAGTTTGATTACGGTGTTGCTCCTATTCCTTGCTTGGAGACATGTTTTGAGCTTCCAGTGACACCTAGAGTAATCAAAGTTTTCACTCATGTTCTCTGTCCGCCCGAAGAGGATGAGAGTTTCATACTTCACTTCTGTGCTGATGAGGGTTATGAAGACCATGTGCTACCTACGTTTACTAGAGAATTTAAAGGTCTGCGCCACTTAATGGCATTTGTTGAAAGGAAGCTGGAAACGTTGATTGTTAGTGCACCACTACAGTCTTTGCAATTTGAGAGCTTATGAGGTATCGTCGGGAGGCAACCCGAGCTTAATTCTGCTTTTGTTTTTGCTTTTGCTTTGTTTGTTGTTTGGTTGTTTTGCTTTGTGTTTTTGTTGCAGCTCAGGGTCTTATTGTATGGATGATGTGCCGAGGATTACATTGACTCAGTTTAGTTCTGCATCGACCAACGCCTTAGGGAAGTTTCTTTGACTCTTTTACTCACTTGTTGAAATATTGACTTGAGTTAAGTTGAGCATGTGTGACCCTATCCTCTTTACCCCCTTGTGCATAGTGCATTTTTGGTCATCGAGGATGATGTCAAAGTTTAAGTGTGGGGGAGTGAATTGGGCATTCAGGCAGTAGTTGTTACATGTGATTTTTAGAGTTAGCATGTGCAGGTGTTAGTTGTATATTCATAGGAAATTCATGTCAAAATTTTTGAAAATTTTTCTTTAAACTGTGTCTTTGTGAACTGGCTAGCGTTTTTTGACTATGCTTTTAGAATGTTCTTGAAGTGTTTAGGCTTAAATTGTTTGCATGATAACTTGGTTTTTGAAAGGATGAAGGCATTAGTCACTCATTGAATGAATGAACAATTTTCCCATTTGACCTGAATAAGTTCCTTTAGGAGAAGCCACTTTGAGTCTGACTGTTCTTTGTTTACCCAATTAATTGAGCTCCATAGCCAAATGGCCTGTTTCCTTACCCGTGAATATTTCTGGCTTAGTCTTGATGTTTAGGGAATTTTGTGTAGGAGCCATTTTTGGCACTGTTCCTATGCTCCAAATGAGGTAAGAGCAGTCATCTTTTAGGAATTTGATACTTTCGAGGATTGCATTGTAGGCATGGATTCACTTTTAAATTAATGAACTTTAATTGCTATTTTTCCTTGGTGAGGCCGAGATTAGAATGGGGTAATGTCTAGTGAGAATCCGAAAGGTGAAAAATTAATATAGCTAGACATCTTGCCTTACGAAAAAGAGAATGGGAACCCCGATCAAAAAGCGTAAGATGAGACTTGGGTATCTTTCGAAAGAAGTGGCGTTCTCGTGCCAACATGACAAGGAAAACTAAACATAATTAAATGAACTTGGAGGCTATTGCGAAATTAGCTTTAGTCCTCCGCGTACTTCAAGTATACGTCAAAGCACAAATGTGCTGCGGCGGTTTAGCTTAGTTGTACACCAAATCTACTCTTTGCATAGGTTTAGATGATTGTTCCTAATTTGTGGCCTATTAAGTTCTTTGATCCTAAAGAATAGCCCCGAAATTCCTGAATGCATTGAGTCTTTGTTAGAATGTTCCAAAATCTCAAGAAAGGAACTGTTTATCCTTACCATTCACCCTTCACCACCGTCTTCACAAGTCCTTCTGATCAATAGCTAGCTTATTTGTGCACGCTGCCACTACTTTGAGGATGTTGTGAATAAATTTGTCAAATATTTTAGCTAGAGTACAAATATGTAGTTTAGGGAAGGATTTTCTTGGTTTAGACTGTATGTTCTGTGAATATCCCTTTAACTACGTGTGCATGCTAATTGTTTTGATTCTGTGTGGTGATTATCGTAAGTCCCGTTGTTCAGTTTGCTTGAGGACAAGCAAAGGCTTAAGTGTGGGGGAATCTTCGTGTTTAATTTAATTAAATCACTCAATCAACCCCCCCCCCCCCCTTTAATTACTTGTTTTACTAAAAAGAGAATTATTCCTTTCCCTGTGCATACGAACTCTACTACGCTATATTACATATAAGTGTTAGTATTGAATTTATTTTGACGCACCGTGACAAAGTACACGTCATTCACCTAGCCAGAAGGATGAGGTGGAAAGAATAATAGCAGAACTACTAAGGACATGAGAAATCCAGCCAAGTAATAGTCCTTTCTCTTCTCCAGTCCTACTAGTTAAGAAGAAAGATGGCAGTTGGAGGATGTGTGTTGACTATCGATACCTCAACAGCCTCACCGTGAAAAATGATTATCCTATACCCATTATAGATGAGCTATTGGATGAATTAAAAGGAGCTAGATTCTTTTCAAAAATTGATCTACGCTCAGGGTATTTCCAGATTCTAATGGCTCCAGAGCACAAGTATTTGACAGCTTTTCAGACTCATAATGGGCACTATGAGTTCCTAGTTATGCCCTTTGGGTTGTGCAACGCCCCAGCTACATTCCAATCGGTGATGAATCAAATATTCAGGAAACTATTAAGAAAGTTTGTATTGGTATTCTTTGACGACATTCTAGTTTACAGCCCCAACTGGGATCTCCACCTCCAACACCTTAAGGATGTTCTTTTGATACTCAGGGAAAACAAACTTTATGCTAAAAGAAGTAAGTGCAGCTTTGGGCAAGAATCTATCTCTTATTTGGAACATATCATCAACCAAAATGGAGTAGCCACTGATCCTGAAAAGATTTAGTGCATGACTAACTGGCCTTCACCTACTACACTTAAGGGGTTAAGAGGATTTTTGGGCTTGACAGGTTACTACAGGAAATTTGTCAAGGGATATGGAATCATCAGTAGACCGTTGACCAACTTACTGAAGAAAGGGGGGTTTGTTTGCGGAACAGAAGCTGAACAAGCCTTTGAGGAATTGAAGAGAGCCATGACCACCACTCCAGTCTCCACTTCATTGTTGAGACTGATGCAAGTGGAAAGGAGATTGGTGTAGTGCTTATGCAGGGAGGAAGACCCATTGCATTCTTGAGCAAGAAATTAGGACCTAAGCAACTAGGTCTATCTATTTATGAGAAGGAATTCCTTGCTGTGCTCATGGCCATCCAAAAATGGAGGCATTATCTACAAGGAAATAAGTTTATTATAAAAACTGATCAGGAGGCTCTGAAACACCTATTAGACCAGAAAATAACATCACCCCTTCAACAGAAATGGATCACTAAACTCCTGGGAATGAATTATGATATTCAGTATAAAAAGGGAATTGAAAACAAAGTTGCTGATGCTTTATCCAGGAGGGATGACAATGGAGAAGGGTGTTGGTCCATATTTGTAGTTAAGCATGCATGGGTGCTACAGGTGATTGAAAGTTATGAAAAAGATGTGTTCCTACAAAAGGTGCTGAAGGAGAAATTAGAAGATCCTATATCACACCCTGAATTTGATATTCTTGATGGAATTCTGAGGTACCAAGGAAAGGTAGCAGTGTGCAGTTCTACAGAGCTAAGGAATACTATTTTTAAGGAATTACATGCCTCAGCTTTAGGAGGACATTCTGGAGTACAGGGAACTTATATGAGAATCAAAAGGGTCTTTTATTGGCCCAAAATGAAGAAGGACATAGACCAATGGGTGAAGGAGTGTGAAGTTTGCGCCCAAATTAAGCCAGCAGGAGGTCCCATCCATGGACTACTACAGGCCCTACCTATACCTGATCAAGCATGGAGTCATATCAGCATGGATTTTATAGAGGGCTTACCAAAGTCGCATGGGAAGGATGTAATACTGGTGGTCATTGACAGGTTAACAAAATACGAGCATTTTCTACCTCTCTCTCATCCCTATACTGCTGCTACGGTTGCGAAAGTATTCTTGGATAATGTTCTCAAACTGCATGGTCAACCCCTGGATATACTCACAGACAGGGGAGTAGTTTTTCTCAATGGGTTCTGGAAACAGTTATTTAAGCTTATGGGCTCAAATCTCACCTATACCTCTTCCTATCACTCCCAAACAAACGGGAAAACAGAAAGGCTAAACCAATGCTTGGAAGCTTACTTGAGAGCTATGACACATCAGAATCCTAAGCAATGGTTCCAATGGATATCACTGACAGAGCTTTGGTATAACACTAACTATCATACTAGCTTCAAAACAACACCTTTTGAGGCTTTATATGGGTATTCTCCTCCAAACTTATCCTTACCAACTCCATCCTCCTTAACCAATACAGAAGTCAAGGAATTAATCACACAAAGGCAGTGAATGAAACAAGAATTGAAGGAGAATCTTAAATTGGCTCAAGAGAGGATGAAGTGTAACACCGTCCCCAAATGTATTTACTTTTACGTAAATGATGTAATAAACCTTATGGAATGATTTACGAATTTACGAAGTTGTAAATTTTTATTATCTCTTTCGCGTGAATAGTAAATTGCACGTGGGACCTACACCAGGAGCGGGGGCCGCCCGATTTTCCCGAGACCGTATATTTTATTCATCTTGGTCTAGATAATAAATATATAGTGGTGGATATTTCATTTGGGCCATGGAAAGGCCCGGAGTTGACCGATTGGTCAAAAGAAGCCCAAATTACCGGTACTGGTAATTTAACAGATAACAGCCCGAACTGAATTTCGGAGACTTATAAATTAAAGTTGGGGAATGTATATTCATGATACATGTCATAATGAGTAAGAGCCCATAATATATTTTATTTGACCCGATAAAATAAAATATATTTAAAACAGTCCGAAAAATACAACTTTCGGGACCGATTGTACACATCGGGACACAAAGGGATGACCTCCCACATGAGTGGGGGCCACCCCACGAATTTGTCAACCCTTAGGGGCTGGATGAGTGCTAGATGGGCTGAATAAACATTGATAGGATGGGGGAGACACCCTTTGACATTTAGTAGACCCCATTCCTACACTCATTTGTCCAAATGAGACAAAAACCACACCCCTCACTCACCCACCCCTATCACACTCGGCCAAGACCCAAAGGAAAAGAGAGAGGAAGCTCTGCAACTCCATTTTCCATAGGTGAACACGAGCTCAAACTCAAACAAGGAAAAAGAGGGAGTTTAAAGAAGGAAAAAGGCTAGGAAAGGTGTGTAGAATTAAGGTAATGACCTTATTATAACTTTTTCTTTATTTTTCTTCTACCATATGAGATATATATCATGTGAAGGATCCTTAAGAGGGTTCTACATGTTATAAGTATGGATTAATGGGTTGGAAAGGGATTCTATGTCCAAGAACGGACTTAGAAGCCAAAACGACCGGTTCACCGGAAAATAACCTTTTAGAGGTTATTGTATTAATAAGAGTTTTATGATTATAAAACCTTGTTAGGAACTTGTAAGGGGTATTTCAAGTGATTTCACAAAGTTGGAAAAGTCGCCGGAGTTGTCGCCGGAGTTGACCAAAAGTCGCCGGAGTTTCACCGGAGTTCAACCGAGAAGGGTAGAACTTCATAACGCTAGTTCGAGGTGAGTGGACGGCTTAATATCTTATAACTTTTGGGTTAATTATGAGATTACCTAAATAAATGTCATATGAGTTCATAATGAAGTTTAAAGGATATTTAAACATGTGATTAGCCAATAGGGTTAAGTTTGTATGAAAGAAATTAATTGTTGATGCATGGAATATGATATGAAGAATTATATGAAATGCATATTTGCTTGAAGTGTATTGGAAGCACAAATGAATATTATTAACTTAATTATATGATGATTAAGTTTATACACTCAAGGCATGAAATGGCGGTCTACGAAAACGTGGACCGAAGAACAAAGGATTTAATTAATACCGGTTGGTATTAATTAATTATAAACCTATATAAATGCATGGCTTTGCATGGATTGTGATACATAAAATTTATGTATTGGATTAGTTATGAGTAACTAAGGATGATATAGACTCTATCTAGGTTGATAGGAGGTTGATCATAGGAGAACTTGGTGGAGGACCCTAGTACTTAAAAAGTACTTAACACTCAAAACTTGGTGGAGGACCCTAGTACTTAAAAAGTACTTAACACTCAAACTTGGTGGAGGACCCTAGGACTCAAAGTCCTTAACACTCAAACTTGGTGGAGGACCCTAGTACTTAAAAAGTACTTAACACTCAAACTTGGTGGAGGACCCTAGGACTTAAAAGTCCTTAACACTCAAACTTGGTGGAGGACCCTAGTACTTAAAAGTACTTAACACTCAAAACTTGGTGGAGGACCCTAGGACTTATGAGTCCTTAACACTCATAAACCGGTGGAGTATCCAAGGATTATGATCCTAAAACTCATAGATTATGATATACAAATAGGGACAAGGAGGAGTCCTATACACTCATAGGTATATGGGTGGGTTGGGGTTTTTAGTCAAGAATATTGACTATTACTATTTTTCCCAAATAAAATGGTGATCTGCGGATCGGATATTTTCCAAGTATATATATACTAATAAGTATTTCATAACTTGGGGGAAAGATTATTTATTTAAGTATCACCCTATGTTTGGGTCTTATACTTGAAACGCTAGTTATTCTATATTTAGCCTGCTACTCGCTCGGTACTTGTACTGACCCCTTCGGGGGGCCCCACCATTTTCAGGTTGAAGCTAGAGCTTGCTACTTGCACCTTCTCACGGGTGATATTAAATCAGGGAGACGTGGTTCGTGCTTCCTTATTTTCTTTCAAACTACCGAACACTTGCTCATGGATATTTGTTTTACTATAAAGTATTTTTGGGGCTTGCATGCCCATGTTGTCGGCCGGTTGTGGCCCATGACTTACCGTTGAATATTTCCGCTATTCATTGGTTTAATGTGATGTTGTTATGTATGTTTACTACTGAGTATGGATGGATTGTTTTCTCGAACGCCTTGTGTGATTAAGTGAGGTTGACCCGTGGGTGACGTCACTTAGTTATACGGCGGTTGTACACGCGCTTGGATTGCGGTCTGGGGCGTGACAATTAAGTGGTATCAGATCCATCTCAGTTCTAAACTATATAATCAACCTCTCACAAAAGATTTTACAAAAGAGTTTCTACCGAAAACCATGAGCATTGTATTTTGACGTTTATAGGACTATTGGTGCTTAAGTTGCAAGGCCTCTAATTGTTAAGATGGTACCCTTAACAATTGGTATGGTAGTGACTTGGGCCAATACGTGTCTGTAACGTTCTTCCGTCAGTTGACATTTATAGGAGTCTAATGACTCATCCATATTTCTTTCAGAAATGGAGGGCAGGCGAATGAGGACCAGGAACAATCCGAGGGGACAGGCGCCGGTAGCATCCCAAAGGGGAAGCCGGGCTGCATCTCGGGGTTCGAGAGGAGGCCGTGGAGGCCGTGGAAACCGTGGAGGTCATCAAGCTCAAACTGTGAGTGATGGCCATGTAAGCTCGGTGTATGAAACCAACACCGAGGACTATGACTCAACCTACGTTCCAGAAACGGAGCATGAGGAGACCCCGTATGATGGGGGGGGATACATACACCGATGATGACGATGAGAGTGATGCCCGGTTCGCCCAAATGGGTGAATTACTTGAGTGGTATCAAAAAGAGAAACTGAGGAGAGATCTTAGGCGCCAAGCGAGGCGTGGCTCTCGGGGAGGTTCGGGTCAAGGAAGCCGGGGAGCTTCCGTGGCCACCCCAGCGGCGTCACAACGTGGGCGTGAAGGAGGTCTCGTTGTGAGAATCTCCAAGTACCTCAAGGAGGCTAGGGCCTTGGGGTGTAGGTCCTTTGACGGCACCGGTGACATTACCGTTGCCGCCGATTGGATTAAGAAGGTGAAGGATGCATCAAGGGACATGCAAATCACACCGGACGTGAAGTTGACTGTCGCTTCACGGCTTCTTGAAGGGATAGCTTCTACGTGGTGGGAGAGCGTGGAAGGGAAGTACCATGGGGAAATAACATGGGCGGAGTTTGAGCTAGAGTTCTATGCTCAATACTACTCCGAGTACGAGGTGAATGTGAAAAGGAGAGAGTACACTAACCTCAAACAGAAAGAGGGCGGCACAGTTAAGCAGCTGGAACAAGAGTTTAGGACCTTGGCTAGGTTCTTGCCAGAGTACGCGGTTGACGAGAACCGTATGACGGAGCACTTTTGGGATGCCTTACTCTTGGACATCCGTGATCGGGCTACATACTCGCGCCACATGACCTTTAGCGAGGTGGTGGAGCAGGGCCTTCTTGGGGAGGCCCAATGGAATGAAAGAAAAGAGAGGGACGCCGAAGAGGCGAAAAAGAGGAAATGGCATGGTTCGGGGCCGCCCGAGCAAGCACGGAGGGATAAACACGGCGGAGGTGGGGGTTCGTTCAAAACACCGGCACCACCGGCAAAGAAGAACAAGGATGCTCGGTGGCATGCATCCTCCTCCCAAAAGACGGGACCCCCTAGGTGTGCTAATTGTTCGAAAAATCACTTTGGGAAATGCAATGCACCCCCAAGGTGTTATCAATGTGGGAACACGGGTCACATGAAGGCCAATTGCCCACAACTAGGTGGAGGAGGAGCTCCGGGATCCGGAGGAGGAACCATGACGGGAAGAAACCGTGCGGGACCGTCAAACGGCGGTACGGGAAGAGGCAACGCATCCACAAGTCATGCCGCGTCCGTAAATCAAGGCGGGACCCAAGCACGAGTGTACGCAATGACCGAGGCGGATGCACGAGCAAACCCGGACTCCGTTGCAGGTAATACACTTATTTTCCTGTATTTCTATGCTTATTTGGGTCTATAAGTCATTGGGTTTGGGTGCGGGCCACCCCGGGGCCAAATCCCGCGAATTCGGGGTGAAACGGGCTAAAAACCACTACGCGCGATCGCGCGTACCTACAGACGCACGACCGTGCGTGCAAGGCAGCAGCCTCCGGCCTTTTTCCGCACAGACGCACGCCGTGCGTGCAGGTCAGGCACGCCGTGCCTGGGACGCACGATCGTGCGTGACCAGCTACGCACGATCGTGCGTAGCCGGCAGTGGCGGATCTCTGATTTTCAAGCACGCACGACCGTGCGTGCCACCCAGGCACGCCGTGCGTGGACCCCCCAACACCCGAAACTTGATTTTTTCGCCCCGTTCTTCTACGTTTGGACCCCCGTTTGATTCCAAACATTAGTATGAGCCTAATAACCTCCTAAAAATGTGTAAAAACATTAGAAAATGTATCTTACATGGTGTATAAATGTAGGAACATTAAAGATCAATGGTAGGTGTGCGAGGATCCTCATTGATACCGGGGCACAACGCTCATTTGTGAGTGAGGCGTTCGCCGAGGGCCTTGACGTGCCATTGACACCTATGACTCAAACGTTGCTAGTCTCCACACCGTTAGGAGACGACGTGGAGAGAAATCATTACTATCCGTCGTGTGAGGTAGAAGTGACGGGTCAACCTTTGACTTGTGATTTCGTACCTCTAAGCATGTTGGAGTTCGATGCAATCCTAGGAATGGATTGGCTCGAGAAACACCATGCCCGAGTAGATTGCTACACCAAAGTGTTGGAGCTCGAGGATGATCAAGGGAACACGCTATGCTTTGAGGGAGATCGGGGGAAATCTAGTGCTTGTATCATATCCGTGATGAGAGCACGGAAGATGATGAGGAAGGGATGCCACGCGTACCTTGCCTACGTGGTGGACGATACCAAGAAGGAAGTAGACATCAAAGATGTACGGATCGTGTGCAAGTACCCAGATGTCTTTCCCAAAGACCTACCGGGGCTTCCACCCGACAGAGAGACAGAGTTTGTAATTGAAGTGGAGCCGGGAACCAAACCCATTTCGATTCCTCCTTATCGAATGGCACCGGCCGAACTTCAAGAGTTGAAGGTCCAGCTACAAGAGCTATTGGACAACGGGTTCATCAGACCCAGTCATTCACCGTGGGGAGCACCCGTACTATTCGTAAAGAAGAAAGATGGTACACTAAGAATGTGTATCGACTACCGACAGTTGAACAAGGTCACCATCAAGAACAGGTATCCCTTACCGAGGATTGATGACTTGTTCGATCAACTTCGAGGGGCAATAGTATTCTCGAAGATTGACTTGAGGTCGGGGTATCATCAGTTGAAGATCAAGGAGAGTGACATACCTAAGAGTGCATTTCGCACTAGATATGGTCATTACGAATTCCTTGTGATGTCATTTGGTTTAACCAACGCACCGGCGACATTCATGGACTTGATGAACCGTGTGTTTAGTGAATACTTAGACCAATTTGTGATAGTATTCATTGACGACATCCTGATATACTCCAAGAGCGAGGAAGACCACGAACACCATTTGAGGCTTGTACTTGATCGGCTAAGGGAAAAGCAACTCTTCGCCAAGTTCTCCAAATGCGAATTTTGGCTCAAAGAGATTGGTTTCCTCGGTCATGTCATATCCGGTTCAGGTGTTGCTGTGGATAACGCCAAGATAAAGGCGATCATGGATTGGGAGAGACCCAGGAATGCGAAGGAGATACGTAGTTTCCTTGGCTTAGCGTCTCCATTAACGAAGCTCACAAAGAAAGGGGCCAAGTTCATATGGGACGATAAGTGCGAGAAGGGGTTCCTTGAATTGAAGAAACGACTTACCGAAGCACCAGTCCTTGCCCTACCCATACAGGGGATAGGGTATGACATTTATAGCGATGCTAGCATCCAAGGGCTTGGATGTGTACTGATGCAAAACGGTAAGGTGATTGCCTATGCTTCTAGGCAATTGAGGAAACACGAGGTGAACTACCCTACTCACGATCTAGAGTTGGGGGCGGTAGTGTTTGCATTGAAGATTTGGAGGCATTACCTCTACGGGGAGACGTGTCACATTTATACTGATCATAAGAGCTTGAAGTATGTATTCACTCAGAAAGAGTTGAATATGAGGCAGAGGAGATGGATGGAGTTGATCAAGGACTATGACTTGATCATCGACTATCATCCCGGAAAGGCCAATGTAGTGGCCGACGCACTGAGCAGGAAGAGTACGTCAGGGACGTTACTTACTTGTCTTCGAGTATTGAGGGCACACGTGGAGGTGTCCACGACCGGGGCGCTCATTGCTAGGTTCGAAGTGAGGCCTACATTGCTGAGTGAGATCAGTAGATGTCAGGCCATTGATGAGGAATGTCAGGAGATCCGCGAACGGATCCTTGAGGGGCCTGTCGAGAATTTTCGGGTACGTGATGACGGTCTTTTATTATTTAAGGATCGTGTGTGTATACCAAAGGATGAGGAGCTCCAGAAGTCTATACTTGAGGAGGCTCATTCTTCAGCATATGCCATGCATCCAGGAGGTACTAAGATGTACCGAGATCTGAAGGAAAGTTACTGGTGGTCAGGTATGAAGAGAGATATCGCAGAGTTTGTGAGTCGATGCCTTACTTGCCAGCAAGTTAAGGCAGAGCATCAGCACCCAGCAGGGCTCTTACAACCACTCACCATCCCAGAGTGGAAGTGGGAACATGTGACCATGGACTTCGTGGTGGGGCTGCCACGAACAGTGAACAACTACGATGCAGTATGGGTAGTGGTTGATAGGCTCACCAAGAGTGCACACTTTCTGCCTATCAACATTACTTATCCCCTTGAAAGATTGGCCAAGCTATACACGGAGGAGATCGTGAGATTACATGGAGTCCCAATATCCATTGTCTCGGATAGGGATCCACGATTCACATCCCGATTTTGGCCAAAGTTTCAAGCATCGTTGGGTACTAAACTGAAGTTTAGCACAGCTTTTCACCCACAGACGGATGGACAGTCCGAGCGGGTGATACAGATTTTGGAAGACATGCTTAGAGCATGTGCCTTGGAGTTCCAAGGAAGTTGGGACAAACATTTGGCTCTAGTGGAGTTTGCTTATAACAACAGTTATCAAGAAAGTATTGGCATGCCTCCATATGAGGCATTGTATGGGAGGAAATGCAGAACACCGTTGTGTTGGGACGAGGTTGGCGAGGCCAAACTCGAAGGGATAGAGCTGGTTGAGATCACCAAGGCCAAGGTGAGGGTCATTCGAGATAGATTGAAGGCCGCTCAGGACCGACAGAAGAGTTATGCTGATAAACGGCGGAGACCGTTGGAGTTCGAAGTCGGTGATGAGGTCTTCCTAAGGATTTCTCCTTGGAAGGGCATCATTCGATTTGTATCGAGGGGAAAGCTTAACCCCCGATACATCGGTCCATTTGAAATCCTTGAAAGGATAGGGGCCGTGGCTTACCGACTCAAGTTGACGCCTGAACTTGAGAAGATACATGACGTGTTTCATGTATCAATGCTCAAGAAGTACATACGAGACCCATCTCATATTCTTGAGAAACCACCGGTGGAGATCCGAGAGGACTTGCAATATGCGGTGGAACCAGTGAAGATTGTTGGTCAACAAGTGAAGAAACTTAGGAACAAGGAGATTCCTATGGTGAAGGTTCGTTGGAGGAGTGATCGAGTCGAAGAGGAAACTTGGGAGACCGAGGTCTCGATGAGGGAGCAATACCCATTCCTTTTCGATTAGACACGTGGATTTCGGGGACAAAATCCCAAATAAGGGGGGGTGAACTTGTAACACCGTCCCCAAATGTATTTACTTTTACGTAAATGATGTAATAAACCTTATGGAATGATTTACGAATTTACGAAGTTGTAAATTTTTATTATCTCTTTCGCGTGAATAGTAAATTGCACGTGGGACCTACACCAGGAGCGGGGGCCGCCCGATTTTCCCGAGACCGTATATTTTATTCATCTTGGTCTAGATAATAAATATATAGTGGTGGATATTTCATTTGGGCCATGGAAAGGCCCGGAGTTGACCGATTGGTCAAAAGAAGCCCAAATTACCGGTACTGGTAATTTAACAGATAACAGCCCGAACTGAATTTCGGAGACTTATAAATTAAAGTTGGGGAATGTATATTCATGATACATGTCATAATGAGTAAGAGCCCATAATATATTTTATTTGACCCGATAAAATAAAATATATTTAAAACAGTCCGAAAAATACAACTTTCGGGACCGATTGTACACATCGGGACACAAAGGGATGACCTCCCACATGAGTGGGGGCCACCCCACGAATTTGTCAACCCTTAGGGGCTGGATGAGTGCTAGATGGGCTGAATAAACATTGATAGGATGGGGGAGACACCCTTTGACATTTAGTAGACCCCATTCCTACACTCATTTGTCCAAATGAGACAAAAACCACACCCCTCACTCACCCACCCCTATCACACTCGGCCAAGACCCAAAGGAAAAGAGAGAGGAAGCTCTGCAACTCCATTTTCCATAGGTGAACACGAGCTCAAACTCAAACAAGGAAAAAGAGGGAGTTTAAAGAAGGAAAAAGGCTAGGAAAGGTGTGTAGAATTAAGGTAATGACCTTATTATAACTTTTTCTTTATTTTTCTTCTACCATATGAGATTTTGGGGTTACGAACTTTGGAGAGAGGCCTAGGGACGAGTTTATCTGCGTTTTTTACGTTGTTTAATCCAAGAACCTGGGATTCTTTGTAAGTTCAATTCTTTAATTAATGACAATTATTTCTATTCATCCCAATTCTTTTGATTCGTCAATTATGAGGCGTGAGTAGTTTAATTAGGGATTTGGGGTTGATGAAGGGGTTAATCATGATTGATGGCTAGATTCTTGTCGGTTTAATTGCATGAATGCCGTTTAATTTGTGTTTGAATAATTTAATTGATA